TTTCAAATAAAGAAAAATAATATATGTTTAGACATTTTACACGATTTATACATTTAATTAAAATAATTAAAGCTGCAATGATGTACCTGATCAAATATTAAATGTTTTAAATCAATTCAAATAAAAAGATAAAAGTAACATCAACAAAAAATCATTATTTACATATAAAAATTTCATTAATAAATATGTAAATATGTATATTTTATTTTCAATAAGGATATTTGTCAGTTATTGATTTATGTTAATAGGTGATCTATAAATTAGTCCATTACATACTGTAGTTAACTTTACACTAAGCTGTGAAAACTATTACTAGGTGAATACCTAATCTAGTGGTTCTTAATATTTTTCTTGTTCACAATGGCACCAATAATAAATCTAAATTAATGCCGACACATTTAAATTATTATTACTAACGAGTATTATAAATAACATCAATCCAAATGAATTGTAATTAAATTGTTTTTAGTGACACACATCGACATCACAACACTTCACGACATACCGGTTGAGACCATGGATAAAATATCTAGTACTTTCTACCTAGCTTAAAATCTAAATAAGTAGAAACATGAGCACCGGGTTCTCTAGATTTCATGGAGTACTCGATATTATAAAAATAAAAATAAATATATATATTTTAACATTCTGTTATGTAACTCTTAATATTTCTTATAAATTTTAACCTATAACTTTTATGTTACAGTCAATTATAATATTTATTAGTGTTATGATAAATTAAACCTTTTAAATAATTAGTTGATAACCTTATTTTATTAATAAATAATTTTTTTTAATTTTTTTTTTAAACGTAATACACAATCTGTATCGACTAGACACAATAAGCATATATGATGAGAGTAACAAAGATTGACATGGAAATTTGATGAAAGAAGCCACCCATCGATGGCACTTTCTATGGATTTTTTTTATTTTTATCTTTTAAGCTTATCTTAAGAGGTCACGACACCACTTACACTTTAGGCGTCTAGGGGGATTACCAGGTATGGAAGTAGTAGATAAGTTTTTTATGAGTTCGTTAGGGTGGTTAATTAGTTTTGAGTAGAATCTTTTATAATATATTTTGGCTTCATGGTTAATTGTTTTGAGTTTGGTGTCAGTATGAAGGATGTGATTAGATACGTAGGGTGGTGCGTTCATTAGTTTTCGGAGAGCGATATTTTGAAATGTTTGAATTTTCAGTATGTTAGACTTTTTAGCGTTTCCCCAAAGTTGGAGTCCGTATGTCTAAATGTGTTTGAGAAGTGTTTTGTAAATCAGAATTTTGGTTTTAATGGTGGTGGAGTTATTGCTTATTAAGGGTTTGAGGGTACGAAGACGATGATTCAGTGCTAATCTTTTGATTTTTATGTGATGATCCCAGGTTAAATTAATAAATAATGAATTGGAAAATTTAAAAAAAAGTTTTGCAATAATATTATATGTTTCTAAACTTCTAACTGATCAACAAATCTTAACATTATGGTACAAATATGGTGCTCCGAGCTCAAGACCATACTTCCGTAACTCTTAAACTATTGTCTTTGCATAAGAGAAAATAATCAAGGTGTTTAAAGTAAAAAAATATTTCAATGGTGAAAAAAAAAATTTTAATGCTTAACATATTTTATGATATCTATTTTA